GCCAATCCCAGAAAGCTCTGAATCTCAGATGGAGACCTCAGAACCTCCCATCTCATCACGACCTCCATCTTGGCCGGGTCAACCGAAATCCCGTTCGGATTGACAAGGTTCCCCAAAAACTGCACCTTACGCAACCAGAACTCGCACTTGGACAACTTCGCATACAATTTCTCCCTCCTCAAGGTATCCAGAACCTCCCGTAAGTGCTCCTCATGCTGCTCTCGAGTCTTGGAATAAACCAAGATGTCGTCAATGAAAACTATCACAGACCAATCCAACATCGGTCTGCACACGCGGTTCATGAGATCCATGAACGCGGCAGGAGCATTGGTGAGCCCGAAAGGCATCACCACAAACTCATAGTGACCATAGCGCATCCGAAACGCAGTCTTCTGCACATCCTCCTCTCTGGCCCTCATTTGATGATATCCTGAACGCAGATCAATCTTGGAGAACCAAGATGCTCCCTATAGCTGGTCAAAGAGGTCATTAATCCTCGGGAGTGGGTAACGGTTCTTTACCGTTACCTTATTCAGCTCCTGATAATATATACACATCCGATGCGATCTGTCCTTCTTCCTCACAAATAAAATCGGGGCTCCCCAGGGTGAACTACTCGGTCTAATGAATCCCTTGTCTAACAGCTCCTGCAGCTGTGTAGACAACTCCTGCATCTCAGGAGGAGCCAACCGATACGGTGCCTTGGCTATCAACGCCACACCAGGGACTAGGTCGACCCTGAACTCGACCTGCCTTTCCGGAGGTATCCCAACCAATACGTTCGCAAACTCTCGTACTACTGGCACATCGCCCACTGTCGCCTTACCCGCCTCCCGGGTATCCATAACATAGGAGACAAATCCTGCGCAACCCTGCTGAATGTAGTGCCTAGCTCTTGCAGCTGAACATAAAGCTGGTCCTCGCTGCGGCCTCTCGCCCTGAATCACCAGCTCTCCCCCCACTTGGGGTCCTGATCCGCACCAACTGTTGCGCGCAGTCGATCACTGCCCCATTGGGGCTTAGCCAATCCATACCAATAATAACCTTGTTCCCCTGCAAAGATATGGGAACCAAGTCTACCAGGTAACGTTCCTCGAACAGCCTCAAAACATAATCTCGGTAGAACTCTGATGCTGGCACTGACCGGTCGTCCGCAATCTTGACCTCTAGAGGGCAATCCAACATGCCCGAAGACTCAGGAAACTTCTTGCTAAGCGCAAGAGAAACAAACGATCGGGTAGCACCCAAATCAAACAACACCTGGACCAGGATACCGTTCACATGGAACGATCCTAAACAGACCATACATATAACATATCAAAATCGCAGCGGCGTAACATAAAAGAATAAAGAGAAGAAATCATACCCGTCACCATATCGGGTGCAGCGTGTGCCTCCTCGGCTGTCAAATGAAATGCTCGGATCCGCACCACTGGAGCCTCTGCCTTGGCCTTTCGGCTATCCGTAACCCGCATTGTCGCTAGAGTCGGCGCCGCCACTGGCACTGCTGCTGTCGCTGCTGTCAATCTAGGGCAGTTGGACTTCTTATGGCCCCTCTGATTGCAATGGAAACATATCAGGTCTGACATCTGCACTGTGGGGGCGGGGGCAGTACAATCTCTGCCAAAGTGCCCCGTCTTGCCGCACTTGTAGCAGCCGCATGATTCCGCTCTACAAGCTCCCTCATGCGGCATGCCGCATTTCCCGCAGCGGCTCTGGCCCGGCTGGCCCTTCGACCTAACGTCGGATCCCCTGGGTTTCTTCCCCGAAACCCCTGTAACCTGCTCAGACTCTTCTTTCCTCTTCCTGACATGCTCCAAATCGAGCTCCCTCTCCCACGCCCTGGCAATCATGGACTCCAGGGTCGGGCAGGCTGAATAGCTGACATGCTCCCGAATATCAGCCCTCAACATATCATGGTAGCGGGTCTTCCGCATCTCCTCATCCCCCGCATATTGAGGCACCAACAAGGCCCTCTCCCTGAACTTAGCGGTGATCTCCGCCACTGTCTCAGTCGTCTGCCTCATATCCAAAAAACTCCCTGGCCAGCTGCTGAAGCTCCACAGCCGGCGCAAACTCAGCCCTGAATCTGGTCACGAAATCTGACCAAGTCATAGCCTCGACGGCTGGGGCTCCCAACGAGTCACCAGCCGACTCCCACCAATCTCTAGCTCTATCCCTCAAACATCCCGCAGCAAAGCGGACCTTCGACCCTTCCGGGGAGAAGCTCGTCAACTGCGCAGACTCAATGTCTGCGATCCATCTCCTCGCAGCAATGGGGTCCTTCACCCCATGAAAGTCCGGCGCACCACTCCCTTTGAAGTCCTTGAAGGACAGTGTGCGCGTACCCGCCTGGCTAGATGCCAAATCACTCCTGAAGGATCGGAGGAAATCCTCCATCAGCCCGATAATCCCTTCCTTGATCGACCCGAATATGATCGGGGTCGACTCAAGGATACCTCTCGTGATCTCAAACACGATGAACTCGCGTAGTCCATCGTCTACATGCTCGGATCCCGCACCCGAGCCAGATCCTGATCCTGATCCTGAACCTCCTGCTCCATGTCGTGTGACCACCATACTGAAAACAAAAATATAACGTTAGGATCATACATACTCTCGAGCGGTCTAACACACTCTCCTAGTTTCCTGGTTCCATCTCGGTCCTCCCTGACTCGAGTACGGATCCTCTGCTTCCATTAGTACGGGCCCATACTACCTTCCACATCTATCCGTACTTTCCTCAAGGATTACCTCAACTTCACCAAGTCCCTTAACCAATATCCCTTTCCAACTAATCTCATCCTAGGCTTTCCTAGGGCACTCTCCGACCTACTCTCCGCCATCAGCTGCACTAGGAGTCCCTACTTCCCTTCCCTAACTAGCTTGCAAATACTGTTACATATCCGCTCACTAGTTAGTTAAAGTTAGCCAGGACCCCTTTAGCACAAAGCAAGCAGCATTCATGTATTGAGTAACCACATCAGGCATAACCTAATCAGGCTATCCTACCGTTGGCTAAACAGTCCTAGCATACAGCTCATACAACAGGCATTCCAGGCATCCTCCTAGATCCTTAGCCCTACTCTAGCATGCAGTTCTCAGAATCATATATCATACACATAACATAACAAGTATGGGTATCTTGGGGAAAAGGCCGGTCGCACGCATCACACACCTTGTTCTTTCTCAAATTCCTTAACTTAAATTTTAGAAAACCGTTTTCTTTGTGGAAAATCTTTTAATCCCTCGGTTTGAGTCCAGACACCCCCGAGGGTGTGTCCGAATCCCTCAAACCAGGGCTCTGATACCAACTTGTAACATCCCAAAATTTGAGGCCAAAAATTTCGTTTTTAATTAAGTGGTTTATAAATCAGTTTATCAAAATATTGCCAATATCAATGAATACATAAAACCATAATTTCATGTCTCAAACCAAATCATCTGAAGTAACGAAATATCAGAGTACAATCCCAGAAAACACTAAGCGGAAATCATCTGTGTATGTGTGATGCGCTGCTACGCCGCCGACTCCTTCCCCTTGGACGAGGAGGTACCTGAAACCAAAACTGAAACTGTAAGCACAAAGCATAGTGAGTTCCCCCATCATACCAGGAAATCAGGGTGTTACATTACCTTCATGCGTTCATAATATTAAGAGATTGTGAGATCTCCAAGAGTAAGAGTTTGGAGTTCCTGATCTAATTCAATGGCACGAGTTTGTTGATTATCACGCAATAAAGTTTCGAGATTTGTCCAAACAGTGTGAGCGGTTGCACCCGGTTTGAGGATAATGTTGAACAAGCTTTGAGTGACTGTTCCGTAAATCCGCATCTTGACTAGGTCATCAAGATTAACCCACACTTCATCCTTGTTATCTACAAGTTTGGAGTCTCATATGAGATGACCCTTGACCCCGAAACTGCTGCAGTGCGTTTGAAAAAGTTCTTTCCAGGCATCATAGTTTAGCTGATTGAGATCCGAGATCAGAGGAACATAAACTTTGATGTTGGTGACACCAAATGGTTTTTGGTTCTTGGATGATTCAGACATGTTAATGAGGAGTAGAATCTATCTGAGAAGGAAAGAGGGTATAAAAGAATTAATGGAGGGAGTAGAGGCCGATTGCAAAGAGTTTGACAGCGGCATAGGGTTTTAGCGAGAGAGAGGAAAGGATTTTGGCGGAAGTCTCTGATACCATGTAAGTGTGGTATTTTCCCATGGAATGGCCTTGCTATACATATATCCGGGACATACATACAGAAAATAGACATGCGTACATGGTATGCTAATAATAAATAAGTAAAAATTATATAAAAATACTTGAAAATACATGAAATCCTTTAAAAAAAATATATAAATACGTAAAAAAAATATCAAAATACATAAAAAATACTTAAAAATACGTTTATACATTATATACAAATTTTGAAGAAATCTATAAAAAAAAATTATTAATTTGAAAAAATTAACGATTTAGTTACATGACGTGCCGAAAATGTTGAAAAAAATTGAAGTGAAGAAATTTGCCCCCTTTTTAGGTTTTTCTATTCAATTTTTTTGGGATCAATTTTTAATTTTTCTAAAATAATAAGAATTTACTAAAAATTTCCATAAAAAATAGTTAGACAAACTTTGTACATGATTAGGTGAAGCTACGTACGTACCTTTTCATTACAAACGAAACATCAGTCATATTTTGAAATCTCAAAAACAAAAACACTATAAGTTTGCAAGAATGTATATATCATTTGTTATAAACGATAAAAATATACATACGTACCAACTTATTTTTCTTGATATTTTTATGTTTATAATCGTCCATTATCGTAGTATGTGGTATTTCTCTTCACACTAAAGCGAGTACAATATATGCTTGTCGGAAATATTGATTCTTTAATATTAATCGACCCAGTTACACACCATTTATAAACTTCATTACGAGAAACATTAATTATTACGTACTTACATATTTATCTCTTCTTCAAAATGCTAAGCAATCAACCATTGTTATTATTGCTTTGTGAACTAATCTTAGAATTCATATTCAACCCGAACGGTACTTTCACTTGAGTGTCGATGAGGTTGAGGGGTACCGGCACAAGAGAATTCGGTGGTACGCATGGAGAACTGGAGCTCAACAATTCAAATGGCATTACGTAAGGAGGAAAGAATGAAGGACTTGCGGGGCTAGAAAAACACGAGAAAATCTGTGGCTCGAATGGGGGAGCGGATGAAGAAGGGAATAGCGATGTGTAAGTATCTAGTTTTTTATCAGATCTTGATAAAGATAGGTTCGAAAACTGCTGATCAGAGTCCTGATAATTATAAGAATTCCACTTGTTTTCTATGATAACATCCTTCCCTTCCGTTCTTTGATGAGCATAGCTGGGAGTATTGAAGAATGGAGAAAAAGAAAGTATAGCTTCCTTCCCTTCCATTCTCTGGTGATCATTATTGGGAGTACTGTTGTAGAATGGGGAAATAGAAAGTTGTGTAGAATTGAAATTGTGAGGAACAATAGTGGGTGGAAGATGGAATCGCTTGAAATCTTCTGGTGCCATTTGCAGAGGTGGAAGCTTATCAATATCATCTTTAGTGACATCAAGCAACCAATCTATCACCTTGCTCGGTTGAGTTAACCCGAGCTGATCTTGAAGGTGATATAATTGAATAGCTGTAGGTATGGAAAGCCTAATTCTTCGGTCTCTCACTCCTTTAACTGTCCAAACCTTGCTATGCCTGTCTTTTCCTCCGAAAGCCTGTGATACCCTCACAATTCTTGGATTCTGGAAGCCTGCGTATTGTCTCGAGATCATATTAGGGTTTGATAGCTTTTGTCGTTTGGCATAACCTTCTTGATCATACGTATTGTTGATCATCTTACTTTTTGCACCATTGGCAGATTGAATCCTTAATCTGGAAAACATTCCAAAACATGGGTATTAATTGTAAGTTAGATTTATCAAGATTGAAACCCTAATTTTTGAAAACCAATCTAATTAACGACTCGGGAAAATATCACACAGTATTTCAACAAAATGAACGAGAACAAACAGATAACTTACGATCAATTTGTGACAGTTTCATTGAAAACTATACACGCAGATCATAATTAAGAAAATGAACTCACATTCGCTGGGCAGCTGTCGACTCGATCGTTATATTTACTTAGGAAATCAACAGTTGAACAAGAACAACCTCATTGATCTTTGCTGTATGAGCTAAAGAAGAGTCTCACTTTGAATCTTTCTGCTGTAAACCACACAATTCAAGAATGTTATCAACGTTGGTTTTTATTCTGTTGGTGTTGCACGCCAAAGTAAGAAATTAAGTCGACTAAAGATTGGAAAAGTTTGCATCAGTGGTGTCAATGTCACCGACAAGCGATGTAGATAAGTGTTCACCACAAACTGAACAATCTTTGATTGATGAAATTGGTTATATAGGTCATTCCGTTCTTTATTTCGTTACTACGTGTGAGTTAATATGGATGGATGGGGTGTCTCGGGTCGGGACCACTTAGCTCTTGTTGCAGAAAGCTACTTCACATAAACGATAGATCTTCATGATCGATACATCCACCTTAATGTCGCCAAGTTACAAACCCTTGAAAACGAAGCCAAATTATTTTGAATGCTTGGGTTACAAAACCCTAGAATTCTAATAACAATTTATCCTAGCTAATTTGGAATACTAAGATAAACACTGACATTCTGCAACAAACCCTAGTTTAGAATGCACGTAATCTAATTTGGGATAAAAATACTAAATTAAAACAGTATAATTCTAAATCATTCATCCATGCTGTATGAATCCAAATGTTAATTAACTAGCTGTTAAACTGGACACAAAATGGTGCATCAGATCTATTAATTACACATAAAATTTACAAAGTTTCACCTGACATGGATCTAAGCAAGTTATAATCACACTATCTTTTATTTTTAACAATAGCAACGACGTCTTATATTAAGAATGGCAATGAACAGGATGAGGTTAATTAATTTGCAGGATGGTCACCCTCAAGGAAAAGGTGTGGTACTAAAGAGGGATCTTAGATAGACCCTGCAAACATCAACTGTATGTGCAGACGAGGGACCAAAAAGTAAGAGGATCTTAAAGGTATCCCACTGGTGTTATTGCTCAATGGACCATGCATGCACCTCTATGTATTCTCGATCCAAGAAGTTACCTTTTAAAGTTTAACTTTAAGATAAAAAGATATTCACCGTTTATAAGGTTGAAAGAAGTGGCATATCCTCTCATATCCTTTTTTGTGCTGCCATATTACTTCTATTTTTCTTAGCATTTCATAGGAAGTAATAGCAACCTAACATATTAGATGTATTTTTGATTTTTTTTAAACTTAAATAAATTATATTTTTTCGTGCAGTACGTGCAGATATGATTAATAAGAAGTAAAAATATGATTGTTTTTGCAAAAAAATAATAATAATAATAATATTTTTATAAAAGTATACATTAAACTTTTTTTGGTAAAAGATATTAAATTTGGTAAAAGCATTCAAAAGATTCCCTTTGACCCCACTTTCTTTCTCCTTTCTCCTCTCGCTACACCGGTGGTGAGCCATTGTTGGCGAGCCCCTTGGTGCAAGCCAGGGGCGGTATTCAACGAGGCAATCACAAACTAGCGATGAGTTTGGCAAGCCAATGACATTCTAAAAAAAGTTGTTCTTAACAATATTATTGTAGCATCCCAAAAATTTAAACCAATTAAAACTTTTCAAAACAACCCATTTACTAATAAAAGTGTTTACACAAGCATTGTTTCCAAAACATTATTTAAAAATCAGTGTCTCCCAAGATCAACGACATAAAATCAGGATGTGTAAGGTCACGCCTTCGCCTTGTCACGGTCATCTGAAGTACCTGAAACCATAAACCAAAACTCTAAGCACGAAGCTTAGTGAGTTCCCCCAAAATACCAGCACATAAACATAACAGTTAACATATACAACAACATGTCGGTTCCAATCAACCATCAGGTTGGAATACCGCAGGCCCAATCAACTTCCAGGTCCAGTCATCCTCGGGATGGAATACCCCAGGTTGGAATGCCAATAAACTATAGGTCCAATCAACCATCGGGTTGGAATACCCCAACCCAATCAACCATCGGGTTGGAATGCCAATATACTATGGGTCCAGTCAACCATCGGGTCGGAATACCCCATGCCCAATCAACCTCCGGTTCCAATCATCCTCGGGATGGAATACCCCTCGGTTGGAATGCCACTATACAACGGGTTCAATCATCCTCGGGATGGAATACCCTCTGGCCCTATCAACCATCAGGTTGGAATTCCCCCGGTCTGTTGGCTCACACACATAGCAGTAAAGCCTCAACCACCAACCAAAATATATACACATATAACAGATAAACGTATGACCGGCCAATAAACTATCAGATAGATCTACAGATCACTACAACATAACATCATCCTATATAACAGGATACCTATCTAACAGATCACTACAACACGATAACATACTACCACATAACAGGATATCTAATCCATTAGGCCGGCCTTGGTGCCTTCGACCTGCAAGTACGGTGAGGAAAACTCACCTCTTGATTTGATCAATAACTGATGAGGTCCCGACTCCGAATCTCAACTCTAAATGTCACCTATCCATCCAAATGACCATTTTTCAAACATAATCCAAAATACCCCTTGGTCAAACTTGATCAGACTCAGGTAAAAGTCAATATTCCAAAAATTCAACCGAATCAACCCAGTTGAGTACGCCCACCGTACTCAGTTGTACGCGACTGACCTAAAAATCGTCTAAACTTCAAACGGCCATAACTTCTTCATTCCACCTCCCTTTTCGACGTTCTTTATATCCACGGAAATGTATTGAAGAGCTCTACAATATTATCTAAATATCTTGGACTAAAAACGTCTCGAACAAAAATCCATATTTCACGCAAGAACATGCCTATGATTTTTCCCTTTATACCCTTCGGCCCAAACACAATTGAAGGGTAAAATCTCTTAACTAACAATGCCTCCTTCCACAAGGACTAAACTTTGCCTCCTTAAGGCCCAAATCCCTACACAATTGATTTCCTGTCCACAACCCAGAAATGGCAGGAAACAGGATGTGACAATTCTCCCTCACTTAAATTAGATTTCGTCCTAAAAATCCGTCTCGGTTATGATTTCTAACAACACCAACATATTCTATAAACTCCCTTTAACCATTTCGAAATCAATGCATCTTCTAAATAAAACTCGAGAGACCACTCGGAAATCCTCGACTTCTAACAAGCAACCTAATAACTTAAAAATGCTCAGACGTAACAATTTTTTTTCTCTCCCTAACTGCATGACCCAACTTCCAGAGAGAACCACACAAATCGGGGACTCTCAGGCTTGCAAACACCGAATCAATTCTATCAATATGCTTCCCTAGACCGCAAACCCATCAGATCTAAATTTCAGAACCCATAATCCAGGACTGACATCCATCCATTCATTGAATCCACCCCTTGCCTTTGAGTATGATCACTACCAAACACGCGGAAAAGAACTCAAACACATCAATTCCAAATCCATAAGATGTATCATAAACCTTTAATAAAACCTTGACTCCCTGTCACGCCATTTCCAACCACTGCTCCTACGAGCAAAGATGAGAAATCCAAGAATTTTCACATTTTTCTCCAACCCTTATCAACTCAGGTGTACCCCCACCTAACAAATCACTCGAGACATCCACAAAGAACTTCATGATTCGAAACTTCATAACTGATGCCCACCCTTGATAACCAAACCCCTAATAACATCTTGCGAACAAACAGGACTTATAATGCAAACACTCCGCAAAGACTTTATGTTGCATGACTGATACTCCCAACCACCCTTAACTGTTCACTCTATTCAAACCAGTTGATTTGTGAGTCTCCCGACTTCCATCAATGCGTCAACACCGAAAGTACTACAAGTAGAAGAAATCAACAATCATGATCACTGTGCCCACAACCTATGTCTGGAAAAATCACGACCGGCACCACAGGGGCCTAAAGATACTCAACCTCATTCCACCTCCTTGCAGGAACCCAAACAACGCTAACCGAGCGTAACAAAGCCATACTCTTTTACCACACACAATTCCTTTCACAGAACAACTGCTACCAATGCAAAACCCTACGAAATCATGGTCGCACACGACCCTAGAATAGGATAAACGGTCGTACTCTTGATCCAATTCAAAGGCTATAACCCAAAAAGAACCAATCATATAATTCGAACCAAGCACTCCATTAATATCTTGACCAACCCATATATACCCCTCTTGATAATATCTAATAAACTTACCCTAATACACACCCTTAGGGAACCGATAGCCTCATCCAAAAAAAAGGGGGGGAAAATACCAGAGTTCAAATGAAATGACAACCTCAATCATTAACAGAAAACATCCTCACGATCGATCGAAACAAGATCCCATACTTGATTGAAACTGAACAGATTCCACCAATACATAACTAGATCGAGAAGATTTCCAATGTGATCCTGGATGCTACCAAAACCTGAGCCTGCTAGGAACCAAAATTCCATGCGACCATTGAGGGTAAACATACCCGGAGACCAGAGGAACATAAAACATATTGAACTTGATGATAGGTTGACACATCCATTGAACTTCGATTGTCACAACTCGAACTTTTGGAGAACCTCCGTTGCATGATGAACGAAATGGCCAATGATCGAGGACGCATTGACATAGATCTAATGAACCAAAACCTGCACGGAGCTGAGCATACCCAAACTGTGAAACTGATTTGATGGTCGACCTCTGCCCAAGCTAGACTATAAATAGAAATCCATACAACGAGCTGACAATTCCCTCAGCAACCGATACTAAACCTGAGTGATCCTAGCGGCTCCTCATCTAGTCATTGGACCCCCCCCCAAAGGAACCATTAGTTGCAACGAGCTCCTTGACCAACTACTTTCTGCTGAGAGAAAAATCATGTATCTCCTGAACACATACATCCGATCACCACTTACTAAATACCCCTTCCTTGACCATCCTGAACCGAGATTCCACATACTCGCACTGCAAATCCCTATGAGCCATTCTTCCAACATCACGAACTCGAACAGATCGCTAACCCTCCAGGTGGAATACCCAGTTCTCCCCCACTTAGGGTCCGAACTACCACCCATTAGTTTTTCAACCCAATCATATCTCAAACCGGCTTAACCGGGTATAACCATACCTGACCCTCGAAGGTATAACACACGCATGATTGTTTTCTAGATAAGGACCAATCAAACCTAAAGAGAATTATGAATTTCAGCTAAAGACCTTTGAAATTTCCAATCATACCTACTTAATGTTAAGAAAATCATGCAACTGCATAAGTCAAACACCAATTTACTATCTAAAACATACCTTCTTCTCCTGCAAATCCAAACCGTCAATCCGGTACCTGACCTTCCTATATCCAAAGAACACGGATCCCTGATCACATCACAAAGCATCTATACCACATCAATTCTCTTGCGCACACCCACGCTGATATATTGTTGCCAAAGTCCACGACCAACATACCCCATGGTGGGTTTACATCCAATTTTTGAAAATCATAAGTCTGCTCACTCCTTCTCCGAACTCGAAAAACTGAAACGGCATAATCCTTGCCACAGATAGCGACATTCCCTTCCATCAATCACCCATTTCACTTCCAGCTGCAACCCCCAAGCCGATCATAACAATCGTTTCATTCTTGAGTCCCGCGATTCGAATGTACAACCTCGATCAAAATCCTCGATACCTTAAAACCAACGAAATTATACTGGTATGCACCATTCAACCCAAACCGACCTCGCCACTGAGGCCCAAAACAATTACCAGACCCATCCTCATGCC